TTGTAGAGTGGGGCCACGAGCTGCTCTCGTGGGTTGACTTAACTGGTTATAATTCTTTTATGACGTCATCAAGAGTGTGTAAATAAGATGGAGATACAACTCATACTAGCCCTGAGYTCATCCAGTCCGATGTACGCAGGCTAAACTCATACATACCGTCCGCAATTTGTTAAATTGACAAATAGCTAACAACCAGTTWTGATCATAGATTGCGAGAATAACATAAAGTGTTGATTCAAGTCTATGTTTGGTCCGCACTAAGTGGTTAAATTCTCCACACAGGAAGCCCACATCAAGAGAAAATAATCAAACATGTGGCAATCAGCATCGGTGGATTTTCTTCCAAAATCAGATTTTCTCACTGTCTTTACTTGATCAGGTGATCACAATAATTCAGTGTTTTTCATTAAGAAAATAAAATAATACAAAGGAAAATACAACTGAGGACAGTCAGCGCAAACCATTTTGTCTACCTGATTTTTTAGAACGCTCAAGGAGATTTCTGAATCTCTGGTACAGTTTCTTTTACACATTTTTAGGGACCTCTATTGGATGGCGTGACAGCAATGGATAGCGTGACAATTGAAGGTGGTTTTAAATGTGTCACGCCAAAGTTATAAACTGTGCTAACAAAAATCAATTCTTTTGATTTTAATGATTCAAAAGCTCATTTTAGAAATTACTTGCAACTGTTATGCAACACTATATTTGCCATTCTGATCATGAATTTTCAAAGGTCATACATTAAATATGCTAAAATCAAACAAGCGAAACCGAGTGYCTGTCTTGACAATAATGGCGTCTACCAATGATTATCTAAGATGTCTTGCATTGACTTTGTTTGCTATCCTATATCCTTCTGGTTCTCTTGGAATTCRGAAATGTGTCCCTCTTCAAAAAGGACCATTTTCAAAGTGTTCTTTGGCGGGGTATAATTACACATTTCCTCTTCCTTCGGGATTATCAAAACGTTCCCTGATGTACATAAAGTCAAGCGTCAACTACTATATGAGTAGCATACAGAACTGTTCTGCCGGTGCGATAGGCGAAACCATGGCCTGTGCCTTTCTTGCGCCATACTGCAGGGAATCAAGTTTCAAGCCCTTACTCCCGTGTAAAAGGGTCTGTTCTGAGTTCCTCAAAAGATGCGAAGGTTCACTTCCAGACTTCGTAGTCGATATTTTGATAGGTTTGTGTAGCGTGCTGCCAAACGCAACAGCAAGCGATGGAACCTGCTACGAACCTGTAAATTTCCACTTTCACTATAATTCAACACGAAAGGGTAAGGGCATGCATATATTTTTTTATATTCCTTTATTTCAGTTTAGCTTCTAGTTGATATCGAATTTCAATATAATGAAAATTTACATTTAATTATCTCATCACCATCAGGCCTGTCTTCCTTCCTTTGTTTCATAAAGATTTTGACATGTTGTAAAATTATGAAACTGATCCGTCCTGAATGGGACTTATTGAGGCCTGGAAGTGACTCGCCTGAAACACTGAAGGCTTTTTTTTTAATCAAATTTTATTCAACTACGCATTTTTAATTTTTTAGTCATTTAATAATTCATAAAAAAATCACGAATTATAATGAAAAGGTGGCACTCGTTTCCTTTCATATGGCTAATCTATTAAGTCATTCTAAGGGCATTTTTATTCAGCTKGCAAAACTGATTGCAGTACACTRAAGACAGCAATGAAAGCCGCAATAAACCGACTGTTATCTTTCAGGTCCGCTGGAGCGAAGCTGCTCTCCGGTTATCATTCCCATATGTCAAAACATTGGCTATACACATACCATATTAACTCATGAAAGGCAACTAACTTKATACAACCGCTGGTATCTGAAAAACTACACCAAGTCCTCCAGTGCATCGATCCCACATCCTAACTCAGGGGCCCAGAGATTAATCAACCTGACTAAAAAATTCAATAGATGCGGTGTAAACGTGAAAAAACTTTTCTGTGCCGAGTACATTCCTCCGTGTTTCGAGCAAGAAGGAATAGCGTACTACACGGCCTGCCAGGACGTCTGCAAGAATGTYACTGTAGAATGCCCAGAAGTGCTTCGTTCCCGAATGAGGTTTTTCTTGTATTGCGAGAAATTAGCTTTTGGTGACCCATATAAAGGGTTTTGCAAGCATCGTTCGTGGCCGCCACCCATGAAATGGCTAGATATCTTCAAAGGTGAGAGTCGCTTCAAATGGTTTGAAWGCTAAATAGTACATACCACAGACAAGTAGCGATACATCCGTTTCCAGATTCACTACATTGTATCYACATTTTCTACTTTCAGATCGTAAACGCCGACCCAATAAACCGCCCAAGCCTTCAGGAGTAGGTGGCGGAGCTGTAGCGGCCATTATAGTTGTTCCGGTGATAATAGTGGGGACTATCATAGCCATGGTGTACTTGTACAAAAAACGTAAACTTACTTCACGCGGTTATGCACGTCAGCAAGACGACAACGTTGAACTGGTTACATGATTGTTTGAWTTTTTTTCTTTTGTGATATGAACTTCAAGCAGACATTTGTGCATAAGCTTGTAGAATTATGACTTTCTGTGAGCCATATAAAGCTACATCGAAMAAAACTATTATAACAAAAGGCACTTTCTAGTTATTTCTCAGATCGTTCATATTGCTAGATGCTTTCCAAAGGCAGACTGGTTGTTTTCTAGGGAACCTGATATAATGCCTAGGAGTATAAGCGATCTCCAGAATAACGCCAATTTTCTTCCGGAAACTCCAGTTTCCTTCAGATCCCAAATCCAGATGTTCATTATATGATCTTGATGCAGCATTCGTTTACATGACTTCTGCTTGCATCTGTAAAAAGATACTCTTCATGACATAGATTTGGCGTGCGACACAGTTGTATGGGCTGATGTTTCCGGACTTAACCCCCTTATAGTGCAACGTGGATTTCACGAAATCATCTTATGCCGCTGCCGCGTTTTGTTTTACATTCTGTTACAGCACATTGCTTGCGAATAACACCTTTTCAGGACCTGACTGTATGAAGGGGTCTGTCGGGGTGGACTGGGCTGATTTGTTTTGTTTTGAGTCCCCCAGGGGAAAGAAAACAAAAGAAACCAGTACGTTTTACCTGGCCGCTCAACTGGCGGGTTTCAAACTAGAAATGTAATGCTAATTTTCAGGTTTATTAATATCAGGAATTTATACGGCACAGTGTGCGGCGCGGGTCTCGAGGCTTTGTTCTTCTAAGCCGACTTTATTTGGAAAGGTCAAAATGTTTGCGATACATACATAAAAGCAGTTGGTAAATCCCTCTTCGTCTTTTGAGAGCAAATGACACAATCAAGGCCACATGATTTCCTATTCGTTATTTATGTTTGCGATAAGATTTGTGTCTATAAATAAACCTGTCAGTGGAATCTAGTGATGGGCCTCCTGTGGTAAGCCAATCTTGCAAACAGCAGCTGAGGATCATGTTTCATCGTACACACATAATTCAGTCAAAACACTGGTGTGGCGTTCAAATCTCCAAGAGTCTATTTTCGGTACCAAAATAGAGTCCAAAATTAGCTATTGAGTATTTATTTTACCGAAGGAAAAGACCTATTTTTGATTTCTACGTTTTGCATTTTAATCGACGCAAAACGCAGTTTCGTGATCTCGTTGTTTGAGGATGGCGTCGTGTCACGCTTGGATTTCAATATTCGTCTTATTAGCAACGTTTACTTTAACATTTGGTCAACAATGTGCACCGTTAAAAGGCACTTTTCGCCAGCAATGTGCTGTTACAGGGTACAACCAGACATTCCGAATTCCTTATAAGATGGACCCAGAGGCAAGCGAGTTTATTAGTGACTTCATCACTGAATCTTTCCATGAAATGGAGAACTGTTCTGTAGGTGCAATCGGAGAGACAATAATTTGTTCAGTGATCTACGCACCGCGTTGCATTGAAGGACAAAGTCAACCTCAAGTGCCATGTCGAAGGGTTTGCTCCGAGTACCTTTACCGATGTGTCGAATCCAAGGAGGGTAATATATTTTCTTTGTGGGGACCGTATTTGTACGGATTGTGTACTTTGTTGCCYAACGAAACATCGTCGACTGGAAATTGCTATGAACCACCAGGCTTTGAGCAACACTTTAATTCCTCTGCTAGCGGTACGTACTTGAGGACATCTAGGCTAATCTATTGAAAATAGAACAATATGCTAAAGGGACAGCGCAATCGAGGAGGAGAGGGGGGGGGGGGGGGGGGGGATTTTATTATCATTTATTTTATGTTGTTATATATGGCGTGAATTCTTGGCGTAACCCCACCTTTCTGTTATAATTATTACGCAATCCCTTATCTGAAATATATCTCAGTCAGGTCAATGTTAACAGTTCGGTCCCAGGGGTGAATCAAACATATGYTTGTCCGAGGCCGGGRGATTGGAGATTGAAGTGGGTTGAATTTTTATTTTCCTGCAGAACTTTTCTGTGCRGGTTTTTTWTTTTGGTATATATCAGTCCCCCATTGGGGTTTTGAGAATTAAAAAGTAAGAGTATTGAAAAGAATGAAATACCGAATGGAAAGAAAACGATATTTTGCTATAATATCAAATATCCCCATAATGGACATCAGAAAGATGACTGAACGCAGGGTTACAATTGTACTTATAGAATTATCATTCAGTACTTAAAATCCTTGACATTTTCCCGTAACGAATCATGGTATATCCCTTAAGTTTATTTTGTCTGTCAACAGATTTAATTCAAGGCAACTGCTTTCCAAACATCTTTCCGTATTGCCAAAATATAAGCTACAACTATACAGTGATGCCAACTTATATGCAAATCCATCTCTACGAGATCTTTTACGATAAGAACTATACTGGAAATCCGGTTATCGATGCACAGTTCAGTAATACAACGTACATCCATAGGTACGACCTTTGGCTGAAGAAATATCCTAAATGCGCCCAGATGCTCAAAATGCTGTTCTGCTCAGACCGAATTCCGCCATGTTTTCTTGGCGAAGAGTCAACCCTTTATACAATATGCAAGTCTGTTTGTAAATCACTCTTAACGGTGTGCCCTGAATTGAAGGATACCTATTTAAAATGGTACCTTGGAGAGTGTGAGATTTCACCGAATGGGAACACCTCACATGGTTTTTGTAAAATCACAGAATGGCCAAATCCACATGACTGGCTTAACCAAGAGGAATATTTTGGAAGTATGTTTAAATTTTGTTTTTAAATTCATTTATCTGCTSTTCATGTTGTTGAGTTGTTGGGCGATATAAGTAGATTTATCGGTTGGATGCCATAGCCAGGTCGATTAGTTAGTCGGCGATAAGCAGGTTGACTGCTCTGTTGGGCGATTTAAGTACGTTCATTGGTCGGTCGATAGAGTAAGGTTGATCGATATAAGAAGGTTGACCTGTCTTTTGGCCGATATAAGTAGATTTTTCGGTTGTTCGATATATCAGATATATCCAGGTCAATATTCGAAGGTTAATTGGTTGGTCGACATAGATCAGTCGGTTGATATATGAAGGTTAATGTGTAAGCTGGTCAACTAACATTGGTTAATAAGTGGTATATTATTTATATTCAGTTAAGCCTACGACTAAGCCACCTCCAAAAAAGTCCATAGGAGCAGGAGTCATAGTTGCTGCTGTTTTGGTGCCAATAATTGTGGTTCTTCTACTCATCGTTGGTGTGTATTTGTGGAGGAATCGTATGCTTCCATGGCGTTACTTYGGTCTTAAGGCAGACGATAGAAGAGATCTAGTAACATAAAAAYCTTCATCGTARGCATTTTTTGGAAATATGGCGCCGATACTGTCATGGTCGGCGAAAACGAGTTCTCAAAAGCCAGTCTTTCGTTCGTGGTTTTGTTTTGTCGAGTTCTTTTACAGAAAATAACATAAAATACAAATCTCGAACTTTCATGAATACCACGTATGCGATTTTCCTGGTCTTGATATAAAGACTTTGAGTCCTCGTTATCGTACTTCAGGATCATTCCGTCGATCGGCAGCCGTGACCAACATTTTTAAAAGCCATAAAGCAAAGCATGATGGGAAGTAGGTCTTTTTCAGTGTCCGCTCAAATTATCTCTCAATCTCMGTTTTTGATGTCGTTCGCTTTGCAYTGCAGTAAAGGCGCACTTGCATTTGGCTACAGAAACAGAAAACTGTCTTTARGCGCGATCCATTAGAATTTTGAGAGTGGCGGGAGTCAAAATCTTCCCTCTCTTTCAAAAGTCTAATGGATCGCCCCTTAGTAGCGGGTTAGTAAAAAGAGATTTTTGATCATGTTTTCTGGAAAACTTATGGTATTAGTTAGAATCTACAGTGACAAGAAATTTATCATTTCATTCACTAATGAGTTTTATATTCAATATCGAATTTCACATTATCATATAAACGATGCATTCTTATATAATTCTACGGTATCATCAAAAATATAATCATTTCATATGAACAACTAATTAATGTTATGAACTAATTTTTTATGCTTATRAACTTCCCGACGTGGACTTTGTAAATTAAGTCTTAGAATTAAAATGTCAATTCCTCATCAGGCGCCTTTCCACCTTTTCCACCTTTTATGGCTATGGGCTTTTTGATTTCCGATAGGCCGACCGTAGGGGGTTATGGGATAACGTCACCTCTGAGGTGCCCATGACCTTTAACCGGCCAATATGATACCATAGGGATCTCAGAAGGACAAGTACTTTATCAAATACTCACATTCATCGGCAGGGTAAAAATTAAAAGCGTTTCACATGAAATTGCTATATATCAATAAAAAACACACGACCTTATCGAGGAGTGAGGGAGGAAATAATGCAATAGACCTGGGTGATTGATTTGCGACCAGGCCTTCATATGAATTCGCCAAGGTTGTAAGCCAGTGAGCCCGTGCATTTTTGTTAAGCGGTCATATTTGAAAGTGTAAAGARAAGGGAAAACCCGCAGCTCGCCTTTCACTCAAACAAACAGTACAAGTCGACGTGTTAAACTTATTTACATAACTAAATAAAATGATTATAGAATTAAACCTTTAAGAATTGAATGCTCATATGAAAYATTTTCCACCTTAAATACACACGTGTTTTTCAGAAGGGAATTTAGTCGACCTTTCTTCACGATGGAATTTTGTTTTGATTCCGCGTTTCGACATAAACAGTCGCTATCAAGGCATTACGCGAAAAACCTCAGCCACCGTTCTATCTCTCGTTGTAAGGTCAAAACTAGTAAATGTGTAACCGACCTGTTACATAACGTCAACSTGTTGTATCGGCGTCGAGCATGCTTGCGGCTTATTGCCGAAAATGCGACAAAGGATGAACTACAACAGTTGTTTGTACCAAAAATCACAAACGCTTTAACTCTATTGGAATACGTGGAGCTAAGCTGCTCTAGCTCTTCCAGTGATATTGTAGATACCTCAAAGCTTAGAGGAAACAAGAGCTAAGAAAAAGGATTTGCAATGGCTCCTCCCAAGATACTYTGGACTTGAACGTCGCTTCAACGACCTTCTGAATTCTTCGTGAAGTCGGCCACTGCATCGCATGCAATGGAGAACCCGCGTAGAACACAGACCAATTATTTTTAGCAGGAGGGGAGTCTCGTGGTATTAAAGAAAAAAATTATTTGTTATTTCATTTTTAAGATAAAATTCTATTTCTATAACGATATATATTTGATTGACATTTAAAAGCTATTTTATAAAGATTTTGAGTTTCTCTTTGCGTTTTAGCTTCGATTTTTCGGATAGAATAAAATGACAGGCAGCCTACTCCACTGGGTCGAGTTTTGCTGTGCAAATTCCTCCCGTCGTGGGGTTATGTTTACAACATAAGCTTGTCAGCTTTGCGCTGATTGGCTAGTCGCATTTTCTCAAATCACCCAGACTCAATGTTCGTACAATTTTTCTTGTTGGGTAGCGTACTTTGGTGAAGTAACGGAAACGTGCATGGTTATTAGGTTTTGAAGATTTATTAATAAAAAAAAAAACAGTAAATGAAAGTCCAATTGAATCACTACAACAGAAGAAMTCGATCAAAAATCAAGTGTCTTTTGATTCACTCGAAAAAATGGAAAAACCTGTTCATGCGTCAWACGTATGGACTTGGCCAACCACTGACYACAAGTTTGATGTGCTCAGTTAACAGCTATGGAAAGCAACAAGGCGAAGGCTGTCAATAGAACAGAAGCMAAAGCTCYAGAACCAGTGSMTKRTGGTKTGCTGTCCCAGCCAATGGGATATTTGTGCTGCTTTCGTTGTTCTTCTAGCCACGTCTTCAAYGGCTGGAAGTATTCTTTGAGAGGACCAACGTCCATCTTTCTCGTTCCAGTTATCTTCTCCAGAGCGTCTGGCCATGGCTTACTTTTACCCATRGCAAGCATGTCACTGTCAAATAATATTATATTATTACTACAATAAAAAAGGGACAAATCTTGATAATATACAATAGGAACAGCTGGTATCTGACTTGATCGTTTTACAGTCTTGCTGGTTGATATGAGCTCATTCGGTAACCTTCTAGGAATATGCAGCTATTTCAATCACGTTTATTATGTCACGATACGTACCCTAATTTCTTGCCAGCAGCTGTTGAATTGTAGATTGAACACTGGTGGAGAGGCCCTTTGAAACCAGCTGCKGCACAGGCCGCTTTATGGAATTGGAACTGGAGTACATAGCTCACGAAGTATCTACAAAACGTTTGGTGTACAWTTATAATACATTTATTMAATAAATCACCCCCACTGACAAGGGCTAGGAAGTAAACAAGCACCATTCACACCATGAGACTTACATACCTGATATATGGTGTGTTTCCTGGAATATGGTACTTGGCACCAGGGTCAAAATCCTTCTCGGTTCGTTCAACTGGTGGTCTTATGCCCTGGTATTTGGTTCTTAATTTCCACCATTCACTATTGTAATTTTCTGGTGTAATCTTGCCTCGGAAAACATTCCACCTCCATTGATCGATCAAGTACCCAAATGGYAAGAAAGCGATCTTGCTCAAGGCTGACTTCATAAGAGCATTGATATCTGCCTCTGAAAAACAAGATTGTTGAAAAATTGAGTTTGAAAAGTGGCGACTTAACGGAAGATGACCAAGTAAAGTAAATAAGGAAGGGACAACAAACTAAAGGGAAAAGATAGTAGGAAGGGAAGACAAACTAAAGGGAAAAGATAGTAACTCATTCAGTCAAACAAAGAAATAAAGAAAAAGAAAAATGGGAAATTGGGAGAGGAAAATATCGGAATCTAGCTGTGGGATTTCGAGACTTTATCGTAATTGATTATTTTCAATCCAGCATTACTAACCTTTACTGGTGCCCAATTTGTCCAACAGTCCGATAATCTTGAGGTGCTGTGGTGTGTCAACAGACAATGATAGAGTGTCACCCACAGCTTCGTGGAATCCTGGGTTAGCACCTGTACGGTATTCATAGGGCAGATCCCAGTACTGCAAATAGTATTGAATGTGTCCAAGCTCGTGATGGGTGGTGACCAGGTAGTTGTGGGTTACAGTTGTGCACTGTTTGACTCTAAAGACATTGATATGAAAAGATGCACTAAACCATGTGGGATGGGGTCGCTAATCATACATAATCATGCGCAATCAGTTGGTTGTAAAATTTTATTTCTATTTATAAAATCAAGGAGTAAAAAAAATAAAACCGAAAAAAATAAGATTAAAAATCGTTGTAACACTTAAATTTTCTTAAACAGGAAACAGGATCTAGAAAGCGTAAAAGTTGATATTTCCGTCCAATGGTATATATTTTTATAAATATTCATTAAATTTCAACCGAATCTTCGACGCCAAATTACACATATATAACCACAGATTATATGACGGTCTGTCACTGATTTTGATATGAACTCCACAGAGTTTTGATGGTTATTTAATAGCTCGTTTCACATTACGTTTATAAATATGTTTAAATGATTATCAAACGTTTTCAAAAAAAATCCATCATTCCGAATCGGAATATAAAAAGATATTAGTCATACTGCTTTTGGAGAGAAGCACCATTAATCAAGAACCACGGAGAAATTCTCTAGAAAGATGTCCACTAACCCTTCGAGGGGTCAGGTCTAAAATTAATGATCAGGGGAAAGCCATTGTCTTGCCAGATCGTTACAATAATCAGGTTAAGAGTTCAGAGAGCTTTTAAAATAGATCTACATTCTTAGTGAAATTTCAATAGAGCAAACGCATGAAATAAAACCATGAAATAAACAATAACAAATATCGGCTTACACAATAGGTAACATTTCATTACTCACTAATGTTTGCTTGCCTAACGCTGAACCTTACATGTCATTTCGAATGGATTTAAAAATCGTTACCCTATGGTGGTCGTTTTACAAGAGTTTTTTTTAAAGTTTTCTCGCCAAGTATATAGGCTTCAGACAAATTGTATTCAAAAATTGTATTCAAATTGTAGTCTACTCCAAATGTATTGTATTGTATTGTATTGTATTGTATTGTATTGTATTGTATTGTATTGTATTGTATTGTATTGTATTGTATTGTGTTGTGTTGTGTTGTATATGAAAGTTTTCCTTATTTTGAAGTACGTTCAGTTTGAGACGCATTTGTAGCATATTATCTATTATTTCACTTACCTGACATCGTGATTGATAGCGAAGTCCCAAGCTGATGCGTGACATATCACACCACGGCCATCTTTCGGCTTTTCAATCAACGACTTGGTGTAGAATGGTTTGGGCAATGGTTTAAGTCCAATGGAGACGAAGAACGATTCAGCAAGCTCGACCATCTTCTTTGGGTTGTARTTTTGCTTTTYAAGGTTTTGTGTAACATCAAGGCTCGGYTGACCTTGGTAKGGCTCAATTAAGTCATAAATATTGATCCAACTCTGGGCCCACATGTTACCAAATAGATGTGCAGGGATGGGATCACTTTTTCCGACCTTTCCCGGGTATTTCTTAGCAAGCTTGAAACGAACATAAGCGTGTAATTCTTGATACAAAGGTTTCAGATCATTGTATAAGGCTTCCACATCACTTTCCAAGTCGGCCACTTCGTACCACGACCGCCAATATGCACCTTTGTCTGCCCAACCATTYTCTTTGGCTCCTTTATTGGAAAGTTCAACAAACTTCTGGTAGATGGGACGAAGCTTGGGACCGGTAGCATCTCKCCATCCTTTCCATGCAAACAGTAATCGATCGTAACTCCTGTTTGTTCTCAAGATTTGCGTTAGTTCAGGGTCTAGTTGCAGCTTGGTTTTATTATCTGTATCTATAACCGTGCCTCCACTATAAATACTTTCCATTTCGCTCTCCATGTCGTTCAACTTGGTGACATCCTCCTCGCTTTTCGGACTTGAAGACGATTTGATCATTTYGATTTGTCTCTTTGTATCTTCAGAAAGTTTACTTACGTCAAATGCCGAGGCATTTTTACGCGCTTTCTGCATGAACAGCGAAAACTGTACGTTGATTTTAGTTTTGATTTTCTTGTTGKWCTCTGTGATGTTAGTTGCATACTTCCACGAGGCCTCGGTCGACTTGTAGTCTTCCTGAACCACTACTCGGTTGTAATAGTCCAAAAAATCAAGTGTTCTGTTCTCTTCTGCTTGATCAAAAGCTGCGAATGATGTTCCAATCACTGCAGCAACCAAAACCAGGTAACTGAACATGATGAACGACTGCTTTTGTTGAAGAAATGCTTTATAAACCAGCACCGCCCTCAGTAATTGGAGCAAATGCACTCAACCGTCCAGTACTTATTGGAGATATCACTCCGTAATAATCCCAGTATGATTTCCTGCTGTCAGTGGAAGGAATTCCGATATCCACAGGCGATCTGAGAAAACAAACAGTTCATGATWWAACATGACATCTCTAATGTTATCAAAGTGAACGTTTCAAGTTGCTTGCCGTTTGTCAGTTGC